CCCCATTTTACAATCCGTCATCCACGATCAAACATTCCTGGTCGAAAGTCCTCAAATTTTGTCCAAGGAGTCAATCCAGGCGACCGGCAGTGAGCCGCTCACGAGTATGACAGATTGGGTGGGGGCCCACTATGCCTGTTCGGATACAAATTGCACTCTGTGTGCCGCCCACCTCAGCCTCCTGGGGATCCCACTCATTCGTAGAAAACGGCCGGACCGGGGTAAGGGCTTCGGCTACTGCGGGCCACTAGGCGCCAGACCAGCTTCCGAATCAATAGTTCGCACTCTCCCTGTCATACATACTGTAAGCCTGTTGTGAGAGTGTAACTTCAATGGGCTTGTCTTTTTGGACTTGTGGCGAACACAGGATGTGTTTAATGCCATTGCTCGACCGCTTCTTCCACCGCCCATGATCTCGTCGTCGATCGACTTTCCCATCTCCCACCCTCCGCCGTACGAGAAAAATGAAAGTTTGGTTGGACGTCCTCACGGGGAGTGCATAACCACCGCCGAAATAGGGAGTGGGCAGGGGGAAATAGATCGACATCCATGCCTTCTTCGCTTGGCATACATCAAATCTCCTGGTTGCGCAAGTTGACGTCCCTTGTTTCCCTTTATCGTGAAAAGCTTTTACAGATTGGGGCTTGACTGAACCATGAAACGAGGCGATCTCCCTTGGTTTATATCGCCCTCGGCTAAGAAACCTTCCCCCCACCAATCCAGTACGGAATACAACACTCGTTCACGTTCGTGAGGATATTTGCCCATAACGGCGCATTGCCTATTTCTTCGCCATCGATTGCCCCTTCTACACAGGAGCCGCGCACAATCATGAGTTTACTACATGATTTTGGTTGGCATGGCCCACCACTGACCATCCCTTTCCGTGTTCCGCACTGCCATGCAGCATCTCCTGCGTGAGTGACCTCCAAAGCCGGCGTGCTTTCCCGCGAGACGCCATCGGGGAGGCGCCGGCAACCCGGGGGATCCTCTTGGCTACAAAACGAGCCAGTGATGGACAGGGGCCAATTTAGTTGGGACAGGGTCCAAGCTTTCTGGATGAGGCTTTCGACGAACTGAGATCATCAAATACAGATTAGAGTACGGAATTCCCGGGTGTGCGAAAATTTGGCGCCATGCCCGATGTCTTACATGAACCCAATCCGGAGGGAATTCTCCAACTCTACTGGCCGTCTCTGCCCCTAGATTCGTCCGGTTGTGTGATGATCCGTGCCGGGCGGTGGAACTGCCACCAATCAACTCTCTCCAGCCACGCGCGAGGAGGGTGGCGGCTAGGGCTGGGACGACCCAGGTGCGTGTCCGCATACCTTGGCACGCCGTCGAATGGACGCCTCAAAATCACGTGAGAGATCTCGATTCGGCGCATCGATCGCTGGTTGGACAGCTCCCCATGGAAAACCCGCACAGCACCTAGCCTGACCTTTCGAAGGATTCACCACAGCTTTCGAGTAGTTGGCCGAGGAGGGAATCTGCGACTACAGTCGTTGGAAAGCTCGTCGCCGCTTGCCCTCATTGGGCTCGGCAGTAACAGGTGGCCTCGGAAGAAAGTCACGCTAGCATAGACGGAAGCTTGACTCCGTCCTGTTTGCTCCGAAAGAGGCAGGTCTACTGATCTACTGAGGTGGACCCGCGAATCCTAGCTTGAGATTTCAAATCATGTGGATATACGTCTCGGGATGGAAGGATGGAGGCGTCTGTCGGCCATGCCGAGGAACTGTTGGTATCTCTCATCGTCGCGCACGTAGCGGACTGCGTGATCGCTTCGTCAGCAAATTTGCCTATGTCCTCACAACTCTGGTGGAGGGCGATTCGATGACGAATGGGCTCGTGCGACCGACGCTCACCTACACCATTTGTCCCAAAAAGAGTGGTTGGTGGACCTGACTTTCGCTGATTGGTGCCCTCATAGATGTGGCCTGAACAGGTTTAGACCGATACATACCTGATTGGTCCAGGGACAGATGCTGAAACTCCTCCGCGGCAGCACGAATCAAATGTGAGAGACGACGGTCGCAATGTACAGACAGGTATGTACTGTACTAGATCTGCGTGCCGCCAAAAGTCCATTCTCTAGCCACCTACGATGCTGCAGCGCCGGCCAGCCAGTGATTCCTCGAAGCACAACGACACTTGGGATTCATCCTCGCCAGGATAACGAGAGTTGATTAACCCACTTCAGCACGCTCCTGTAATCCTTCGCTATACGGTCACACTTTGAAGGCTCTGTAACTAGGACGCCGCCTTCATAGCCGCGGACTAAATGGTCCAACTTTCCAGAAGTCTTCAATTGCCCGCTCCACAGTTACTCCCGAATTGAGGTTGAGAGCGTTCGGTGGCCCGGTACCCTGAACGCCGTTTCCACCCACCTGCTTGGTGATCCGTGCCAGAGCATCCCGACATGAATCTTGGATACAACAGAGCTGGTCGGTCGTCGCTACATAGCTCACGCCGAATTGGGCTTCCCATGTGGCTTCTTCAACACAGCTGCTTCCAACATCGAGCCACCACTGTGGTACATAGGCCACCTTGCCTGCATTGTCCGAGCCGGTAAGAGCAAGTGTTAGAGCCTCACCATCAGTCAAGCTGGGTCGCTCTTTGCGTAGCTGGAGGACCGACTTGAGTAGACCGACACTCCACCAGTCTACTCGAATGGCAAAGAGTCCGAGTGCATGCTGCGCGCTTTCATGCCCGAAGGAGATAGCCTGAATGTTGGCCGATGCAGGCGGTAGAAATTTCCTCAGCGATCTGGGCGTATGCGAGTTTAGCATGTCGTGATCCTTGAGAAAGAACATCCAGTCTAATTGTTCGTCTCGAGGCTGTCGTGATTGGAAAATCAGATAACTGTGGAGCTGCCAAATGAATGACGCTTTCTTTTGGCCCCGTCGCATTACATCGGTGAGGTGGGGGCAGGCCAAGAGGAGATTCGCCGTCAGCACTGTCTGGTTTTCAGATTGGTCCAATAAGTCCTCTTTGCGATTTACGGCGCAAAGTGAAATTCGTTCCACTCGTGCCGTCGCTGGATGATAACCTCCTGGAGTCGGAGCTGGAGACCGTGGTGAACCTTTGGAATTCCCGGCTTTGGTCACTTGTGGAAATGTGGTGGTGATGCGGATGCCAGCATATCTGAGACCGAGATACAAGGCGAATAATGTAATAAACGCTAGTAACGGGAGCCTCTTTGGCCATGCCATCGAGGGGATCCTGGATCGAGATAGTCGAGTATAGTATCTTGGCTCCACCGAAACGCAATTTATTGCTCCCAACTATACGAGAAGGGTATGCTCGAGAAATCTTTATGCTGGGCTTTATGGGAGGGATGAGCGTGGTGCAGTGTTTTCGCGTGTGAAACTGGGACTGCAATGCCAGAAGACGTCCACCCCAAGAGCACAAGTAATTTAGTAAGCTAGGAAGGAAGTCGGGTGCATTGACGAACGCAATTAATCCCACGTGATCTCCTATTGGAGGGTAGCGAATGACGCCGGGTGAAGACGTTTCGAACTATCACGGCTGTGGGCTGTAGCTGGCCCCCAGCCAACGAGATTCTCTTGATGGCACCCTACTTATCTTGTGCGAGCCCTCCCCCCCGACGATTTCTTTCATCCCGGATGCTATAGGCCAATCACGGCAAGTCGGCTATTTATGGGGGAAGAGGAAGTTGCCTGCGCTTGGGGAACCCAATCTAAACAAACTTCTACCATAGAAGATACTGTAAATTATGTACAGTATCGCGTTGAGTGGATGCAAATCAATGCAATTTACTGGCGCCTTTTTCGACCAGTCAGATTTTCGTTGTACACCAGGTCACGTTACCCCCTTAACCCCGATCAAGTGATCTCCATGGTTTCCTCAGAATAGCTGCCAGTGACGAGCTATTGAACACTCCAACCACCGCCGGAAATACTGTATTTACATATTTAGGCCGGACGATGAATCAGAAGGCCCACGCTCTCGAGCCAGCGGCGCTTCCAGAAAAAATCACCAACGCGGCTCAGAGGTTTTGCAGCGGCACGTGATCTTCCCTTCCAGCTGTTAACGTTAGGAAATGAGTGATCCACCGTAGTTACACTATCTCACGAAATATCCCGCGCATGAGGATATTCTGTGTCGATTACGTAATGGGACCTAAATTCAGCAAAAAGCACCTCCCAACCTGACTAAGGCTGTGGGCGCACGAAAGATTGGAAGGGTCTGAGAAATGGGACCCGGAAGGTACTGTAGAGAGTGGGAAATACTATCTTCCACGAGAATTTTGGCCCAACTACATCGACGCAGAGGCTAGACGAGAATTCTATCGCCACAAGCCTATCCGACCCGAGCCGATGTTGCAGTAATTTCGACGTGAGCAACAGCATCAACTCTTGGTTTCGAATCAGTATACAGAGACTGTGCCTCCAAATTTAAGCTCATCATGTGAGGGGAACTGACGCGTTTACATTGTGCATGCCGGGGTCGCAATTGGTTCCTGTGGTAAGAAAGTTAGGACGACCTATGGTGATGATCCTGTACCTTTCTACGTGACAAGTCTAGCGTAGGGCGAGAGGCTGTAAAATGCGTCTAAGAGGCATTAAGTACTTTACCTCTACAGTATACTCAAGCCTTGATATACTGTTCCAAGAATATTCCGACATTGTTCACGAATTTGGTCTGGACCTGACCCACAAGAATGGTCAACATGGCCCATCTTGGAATTCGTCCCCAGGAGACACGCTTTCCGTGGTTACTGCACCCCTACACCCTAACGGTAAACCTTCACGCGCTACCATTCAGAGATCCGCAGCCAAGTAATTGCGGGACGATCTCAACAGTTACCCGCGACACGCGGAAGGATTCCATCATCGTGCCCCGTGTTGGGCAGTGGCTGTTGCGAAGATGGCGAGCTGGGACCCGTGGAATGCAGCGGTCTTCCCCGCCACCGTCAAACGTCCGCTCCGCTTCGACACCTTGCTCGCCTACCCAACCGCCGGAAAGTCGTCGCGGGCTCACACCTCCGCGTACGTCTCACCGATCGGTGAAGAGATGGAGTTGGAGCTCACCAACAGTCCGTCCGCGCACATGAAGTATGCATACCGCTCTACGGCGCCGGTCGAATCTAAAAAGTCAATCGCCCTCCGCACGAAGGAGGCGACTTCGCTGTCGGAGCCGGAGGCGCCAAATTCGGTCAACCACACCCTCTCCACATTGGCCGCCTGGGTCACATTGATGACGTCCCACACGTGCTGTTGAAAGTAGGGGAAATTGCTCGCCGAGTCGTACCAGTGAAAGGCCACAAAATCAAGGCGACACGCCCCTTGGCAGTGCTGGAGAAATTCACGTAGCCAGACGATCCCCATCGGCGGGCTCTCGCTGCCGCCGTTGGTGATGGCCGGAGAGCCAATGGACATTTCGCTCGGGAGGGGGTTCATGTGTTCGATGTGTTTGGCAGCAGCCAGAGACGGCTCGAGGTTGGATTGTGCTCCGTGATCCGGTTCGTTGAAGGAGAGGGCATGTCTCGAGCCAGCGCTGAACGCGGCGGCGGCGAGGGCGGCCCACGTCGTGCTTTGGTCCGGACCCCACAGCATGGGCACGTACTCGGCCCCCGTGACGATGGTGCCAGTGGGGTCTGCGGCCCAGTTGTAAGCCCACGACATGCCCTTGCCCGCGAAGACGTCGGTCAACGATGCGGTGTTATAGGCCAGTCCCCTTTTACCACCGACGGAGAGGCTGGTCGTGTTGGCACCCGGCGATTGTGCGGCTGTGCCGCCCGGGGTGTAAGCTGGAACGGCGCCCGCCGAGTTTGGCGGGCTGTGCGAAAAGGATGATGCCGTCGACGCGTTGAAAATTACCGCGAGTGTGGTTCTCCCAGCCGCCGTGGGGATGCGCCCTCCGAACGCCCGTGCGATTGGGTTTCTGGGTCGGAGCTCCATCGTCGTCGGCATCGTGACCTCAGGGAGGCTCATCCTGGTCTCGTGAGGATGACACAGCGGCGGTGGGCGACCGCCGGCAGCTCGACGCGTCAACACGAAAGCTTCACTGTCATTACTAGTGCCACCCGTGGCAAGGGGTGGGATGAAGCTGCAGTTTTCATGCCTCGGGATGCGAATTGGGCAAACGTCGGTGTCGTTGCTTCGCAGCCCAACGCGACGGCTCAATCCCACCACTTGGGACGCGGGCCCCCGCCGCTCAAGCCTTCCTCTGCCATAGAGGGGCCCAGGCCGTTGTGGGTGACTCCAGGCGTTCGTGGGCTGCGCCGCGAGCAAGAAGGCCTGGAGGAGGACCATCATCATCATCATCACCATTGAGTCCTCGCTGGACCGTTGACTTTTTCCTCGGAGTTGGGGCGCGCGGAAATTCACGAAACACCTCAATTGAGTGATCACGATCACGACGGAGCCGGGAGCGGTCGAGGCACATATGTGCGCCAACCCCGAGTTTTTGGACACCACGGTCTCAGGGGCCGGGAAGTCGAGGCCCAGATTCTGTGCAATCACCGTCCGGGGTTCAGAATGGCAGCAAATGCCGTTCCCAAATGGGGACATCCTATGTCACTGGCTGACACGGTCGTGAGGAGTATTCAAGAGCCGCGTCCCAGAGCTTGTCCCACAAATCCGCCCAATGGCCGCCTTTTTACAAGGCCTGAACGATGTACCCAACCGCGGTCAGCCACAGCGCTAGCTCCAGGCTTTGTTCCTGCCCCGCCCGCGACCTTTTGAGTACCTTTGCTCGAGATCCTTAGTCTTTCGGCGCCGAAACCCAATGGCTACTTCTAATAGGACGGTCGGGTGACCCTACCGGTGAATATATGTGTCGATCAAACCATCCCGGGCCAATATGGCCCCCCACCAGTGGATCGGCAGGACGCAGTTGCTCCTGCGTCCTCCTTGTCCGTGAAGGCCCATTTCATGCACCCAAGCCGACCACCATTTAAGGAGCGGCCGCGGCCCTTTTGCCACCCGGGTCATACCGAACTTGTCGTCAAGCGTCACGACCAGGACAGCCGCGAACACGTCGCGCTCGTGTGGCTATCCCCCTTTTTTCTTGCCACATCGCCGTTCGACAACGATTCCCGGCCCGTTTGATAATCCATGCGTTTGAACACGGTCTCCTAAACGGAAGGGTCCCCGGGACGAGACGTTTCTTTGCGCCGTTGATTACAGTAGGCAAGTTTCGAAAATCACTGTATTTCGGACACCATCACCAGCTCTTCTGAAGCCCTCACGAGGAGTGTCAACCCGCTTCGGGCTGATGAATGGGGCGGTTCCCCTTGGAGACCCAAATTTCACGCCTTCCGTCAATGGCGAGTATCCAGTGCGTTAGTCATCGTGATCGAGCCAGTGCGCGGTGTCCATCCATTCGTGATATGTATTGTACCGTGACAACATGGCGCCGATGGGCAAAGCGAACGCAAAATATTGGGGCCTTGGGGGACGGCGGTTGTATCCACCGCGAAATATCGCGTCACCTCCCACCACCGATTTTGCCATAGTGTTTTTTGAGACTCTGGCTCCGCCGACGCAAGCGAACAATACTTATGTCCGAGTGGTCCCGGAAAGGCCATCGAGGTGAAATCGACTAGATCAATGATCCGGCCACGCGAAGATGGACCGCGGCAACACCACCACCCACACCCCTAGCTCTCGCAATTACCCAAAGCAGCACACTACGAATTTCGTCGACCACGCGACCGGCAATTTGAACCCTTTCAAAATGGACGCTTTTCCTTTCCTGGGTGAAGAAGGGAACGAAACCCAGGCGCCCATGACGGGGTTGAACAATACGTCATTTGAAAGTGATACCTTCCCCGCCAGCAACTCCGACCACATCCCGGACATGTAAGAGGTCCCATCCACCCGGGGGTGATGCCGTGGCGATGGACACCTGGGCTGTTCTCGCCATGACCTGACCTCGGGACGACGCTATGTCTACGGTCATGGAGGGTTGACTAGCTAACCTGCCTCTGTAGACAAATGGCCGCATTCACGTTCGGTGCGCAACTGGCGAAATTGGAGGAGAGAATCGTTGGGAACGAACGAGCGCTCGAGGATGAGCGGGCGGAGATGGAGGAGCTCCGGAGAAAACCCGCAGAGCAAGAACAAATGAGGCCGGTCGTGAAGGCGATTGTGGCGAAGTCTGAAGGCATTCTGGAGAGATTACGGGCACTGGAGCAACGAATCGCCAGCGTAGAACAAGCGCTCTCCGCCACAGATAGGAAGCTGACGGTATTGTCGAGTCACATGAAGAACCAAGATGCGGCATTTGAAACCCTTCGCGGGAAGCCTGCAAACGGAGCCAGAGGCCGCACGCGCGATCTTTCGGCCCAGTTTTAGACCACGCTACCACGGGGCTGGCTCCATGACAGTGCATTCGAGACTGACACCAGGTAGATACGGTAATATAGATTTCGCCCGAGAACACCTCGGTTATCTGCTATCAGCGCCAAGTCGGGGTCCCATCGAATCAGGGGCACAAAATTCTGACTGGTTCAGCGGATCAGTGCTGGCTCATGCAGAACGCAGAATTTTCGCGCGTTTTTCTCTCCCATGCTCCCGACCACGGATTATTACTGTGTTCGAATCCGTTGGCTCCTAGCTATTTTACCCACACAGACGCACCAATTTGCCTTGTTCGCGTAGCTACAGAAGAAGCCGGTTTTATATCCGTCTAGACTGTATAACGAAAAGATATTGTCATCTGGGCTCCAGGCGTCCCCAAATTGCGGTCTTCTCGCCGCCGTTTGGGACCGGTATTGGTGACGGGCCGAAAGGTGGGAATGGAAATTCAGACCGCTGAGCTGCTTGTTCGATACTCCCCCGTGGGTGCTGATTGAGTTCCCTCGCTTCACCCACCGCCATGAAAGGTAGAGCTGCGGTCGACGTTTGGACCTGCGACACGAGGTTTCAGAGTCGGAGGGACGAATTCGGGCGTCGTTCGATGAATAACTTCTAGCCCCCTTCCCTTTCCGAGCGCGCTGTCTGCCGGTTTATGGTACTGACTAACCCGTGGAGAGGTATATAGTCAACATCAAGATAGGGCCGACAAGACTCGCAACAACCACTCCGTTCGATACAAACCAGGGGGCTATTTCTGTCCACGACCGACTTACCATGGCCGCGCCAATCGGTCGCGTGTTGAGGTCTGCTCATCGAACCTCGCCCCTCCTTCGGCAGGGCTGTCCGGCCGAAAGATGCGAATACAGCCTAGCAGTGGCCGAATGGCCGAGATGTGCGGAGGAGTGTCTGACGCAAGCCTTTGCGGCCATGAGCGCGCCCGCCAACGAGGTTCTCGTCGAAGGAGTAAGACCTTCACCACCCGCGATTGGGCAGAGCGCCAACTGTCGTTCACACCACCACCGCTTTAGCGAGGACAGTGATGAGGAGGAGGAGGCGGAGGAAGAGGATGACGATAATGATAGGGACTACTGCGAGAAAGACAAGCAAGACGACGAATGTGAGACGCGAGACAAAGACACGACGGACGAAGAGGAGGCGACGGACGATGAGGACGACAGCGACGACAGTGACGAAACCGACCCGGACGAAGTTGCAGAGCTGGCGAGCTTTGTGGTCGAAGATAGTGACATTGGGCCAAATGATGCGGATGAATATATTCCGTCAGATGACTCTTCCTCGGACGGCTCCTCCTCGGATGACTCTTCAGTCCAATCACTGCTCTCGCGTTCAATGGATGAGGAAGATGACATCCACCCCCCACCACCTTCGCTTTGAGGGACGTGCTCTACCGAGAAGGATTGCGTCTGTTTGGGTGTGCCGAGTCGACCGGTGCCAGTGGAGCCAGTCACCAAGTGTTTGATGAATTCCTCGACCCGATCTAAAGGCGTTTCCACCCCCAGGCAAATCTGCCCTTCCTTCTACTCATCTAGACTCCTAGGTGATCCTTCCTGTGCCCCGGCATTATGAACTTCTAGGGAACACTCTTTCCCCTAGCCCTTAACATGTCCCAGTCCCCACAAGAGATCGCGGAAAGTATCGCGGGCCAGAACCCCGATTGCATGCAAGCATACGTGGAATGTCTGAAGACAAGTGGTGGTTGCGAGCAAATGCTAAACGCTCTTGGGTGGATATTCAACTGCGGGGAGGTCTTTGTCACCTAGCAAGGGGTTTCAGGTTCCATTGCACATAATCCGGTAGATATTGTGTTCACACAATATGCCCGCGATTCGCTCCCTTGTCGACCGCGTTGAGGATAAGCGTCTCACCTACCGTGACTTGCCGGGTTCTTTGAGAAACGTGCGCGTTGAGAGCAAACTCTGCTGGGATTTCTATGAGCAATCCGGGATGCGTGTAGTCAGCCATGATCGAGGACAAAACCCCATGTAATTATCCTGGGGGTTGTCGCATCTTGTATTTCTTTGTCGTTCACCAGGCTTTCGTGAACCTCGCCCTATTTTCTCACATTTAGCTGGATCATCCGGAACGTGCTACTCATGTTGGGAAGGGTAGAGCTTCCGACAGTATTTGCTGAACGATTCGTGTGGTTCCCTGCATGGTACACACTTCAAGACGGCGTCGGTGCATTCGCTATGACGATGGCCTTCGCCAGTACATCTTGCGCATTTCTGGGCGTTCTTGCACTGGAATGCCTTGTGGCCGATCTCTTGACAGTTGTAACATTGCTCCGCGCCTGTTCGTCGTTCAAATACTCGCGTGTAGCCTGACTCCCCTGCGACGTGAAAAAGTAGCCCTCCCGTAGGAGGCGTTTTGCATCGCTGCCTTTTGTGACGTATACTACCATGGAGCCGTCTTCGTTTTCTTCATCATGGTCGTCATCGCTATCCTCAACATCTTGAAATTGTAACGGCTCGGGGTTCTTAGCCCTGGTTGTCCGGCGCGTGCATCGGACTGCCTGGCTTTCGCGGACCTTGGCGACCGGTGCGGGTGGACGTTTGCTTCGCGGTGCTCGGGGTTGTTTTGTCGTGATGGTTGCACTTTGTGGACTTCGAATCAACGTTGCAATTAGGTGCGGCTGCTGTGTCCAAAAGCTTGTTTTCCGTCGAAACGTCGCCTTGGGAGTGGTCGCAAAGCTATAAGTTATAGTGATGTTTGAGACAATTATAGAGGCTTGCAAGACCGGTTTCTTATATACAGTCATGTCTGATACAGTACAGAGACTTGCGCAACCAGTTTCTACCTAAATTATATTTTTCGAAGGCTTGATCCGGCTGTTGACCAATGACGCCGAGGGTAAAATTACAAACTACTTTTGACCATGTATTTTAGACCTCTCCGTTACCTGACAGGCCTGGATCTTTCTCGGCGCATGTCCGTATTTATATCATACCTAAACGGTTCCTATGTATCTTCAATCGAAACTTGGGGCAAGGAGGGCTTGTCAACACTGTACATTATCCGTGCCATAGTTCATCACACCACAAAAGTGTCCAGCCTCGTGCCACCATATCTCACTACCACGATAGTACCAGCACGCATTGCCGTGAACCCTAGCTGGCAGGCCTTCAGCTTCCCAGTCACGACAACCCCGCCGCAGCCTCGACGTTGACTTTCACTTTACGTAAAGATTCCCACAAGAGTTCTCGCTGAAGGAGATACTGATACCTCCACTTCCGCCGCTGACGTGGTAGTCGAACTGAATGAATGACCCGATCAAGCGACAGGCGCACATGAGGATACTGGTCGATGAAGGTCAGAAGAAAGTTGCCACTTCATCTAAGATTACAAAGAGAGTCGGCGACGCTGTCGAATACCTTCAAAGGGCGAAGGGAATGATCGACATAGCCATCCAGAACATCCGCAGGCTGCTGACCGTTCTCCTCGGGGCGACCGCTCCTCCATGCTCACTGCTCAGGAGAGGTCACAGGCCCAGACGCCGGTACTGTCGCCCAGGGCGCACCCGATCTTCTGATAGTCACCAGTGAGAATCTCGGCATGGCCTGTCTGTCCTTCGTGGTTCCAGCCCTGGGCGGCGGTCGAGCAGATGTCATTCAGACCAGGCGATGCTGGAAGTTCGCAGAGCCAGCCCCCCACGTAGACGCTCTCGAAGTTGTTCCGATCCCCGGGGGCCAAGACCTGCGCGAATGTGCCAGGGTTCAGCTCGTGATGCAGGCCACCAACCGAGTCGTCAGCAGTCTTCTGGGCATTCCCGACCAGGGTCGCATCCTGGACGAAGGCGGGCTTGCCACCGGCGACACGCCACTTGTTGGCAATACCAAACCAATCGCCGCCTGTTCCGATGGTCGAGGGCGACCCGGCGGAAGACATGGAGTAGAGAGAGGCCACCGATAGAGACGTTTCCCCCCGAGTGGTGCCGGACGGGGCCTGGCCAGCGGTGGAGGGGATCCTCTGGTCGCCGCTGTAGGCCGTGAAACTGATGTACGTGTTGCCGGGACCGCCACGCCACTGGGGGCCTCGCGCTTGCAGCACGGTGGCATTTTCGGCGACCGACCAAGTGACAGAGGCCATCGTGGTGGGGATGGCGGCCGCGCAGAGCGTCTTGAGGATGTACATGTGGCGTTACTTGCTGCGGCGAGCGTGGCGATCCCGCTCAGGGGAAAGGGGATCTGGATTTTGAATGGAGATCTCCGAGTGAATGTGATCCCTTCCGATTGTTCTTGCAGGAGGAGCGTGATGTCCTCACTGGGGTAAAAGAAAGGAGGCAGGCCGACGTCAAAGGAGTGAGGACGAAAGTCGCAGCGGCTCACCCATCAAGGAAGGCGGCAGAACAGCACATAAAGTAGCGAATCGCCTCGGTCCACCTGTGCTTCCGCGTTGGATGGATGATTCTTCCAACCAGTCCTCACCGAGAGCGAATGACATGACAGAGAGACGACCATGGAGCCGACGGTGTCCATCGCGAATAGGCAACGGTGGCACGTCGGCTCGAAATTAGTCCCATCGATTGGTGCAGAACAGCAGTTCTCGAAATCTGCCTATAGTACTGTACGTTGTGAATCAGTCACGAATCAAGGAAGGCCATAATTCTCGTCATAGCATTATTATGCCCCAAAAGGGTCCTGGAGCTAGTCCTGTAATTAACTGTAATTTAGCTGTGGCAAAGTCTCTTTTACATAATTGTTATGCGGCAGTAGCCCCTCAATCAACCAACATCCCTCGACCGTTATATTTTCTTGAACTACGAGGATCACCATCACATTCCCTCTACTCCAGCATCGATCCCAAGTCAAACAGAATCGACGTTGCAACAGTCTCTGCCGTGTCAATTCGAAGCAGGTCAATGAGGAGAGCTTCCAATATGAGCCTGCACGCCGCATTGAAACCTTCAAATAGTACAGAAATTCAGCGCCTAGTCGCAGGCGGCGCCGACCCCAACGAACGCAATCCTCAATGTGACTATTACACCTCTCGAATATGCCGCGATTCTATACTAGGAGAAAAAGAGCCTGGATGGCTAGATACCATTCGGCAACTCAAAATTGGAGGCGTAACGCAAATGCCATGATCTCTCAGAGACTACCTAGAAATAGCCCATCGTCTGCTTGTAAAGATAGAGTTTATGACGGACGAATTGGGAATAACTGAATCTACAATGAAGAAAGTAGGCTTTAAGTCATGATATTTACTGTCCAGGTTGAACTTGGTCAGGTCTTCTAGAGGCACTGTCAACAGGGTGGCGTAGAGCAAGTTTTTCCGCGCAAAAGAATTCTTTGGCTAATGGCATGGTGCGGAAGTGGATACGGCACAGGAAGAGAGCGCGGACCATGTTGGGAGCCATAATCTGCTGTTGAGTACACACACACACACAATTTATTACGCCCGGCGGCAGAGCCGAAAGGGCAACTAATGCTAGTCTATGAATACATTTCTCAAGGATATGACCTAGTCTCGAATAAATCTCCTCTTCGCTACTCCGTCCTACTCGCTTGCTACGTCTTTACGGCTTCTCGTGTGTTAGTATTGTTAGCAGCTTACCTTGAAGGCGATTCTCCAAGTGTTCAACGTCCTATCTTCGGCAGCTGAAGCGCGCCTGCTTTGCCCGGCACGAGTTGGTGTTTAGGGGATCGGAAATGTTGGTGAGAGGGTGGTTGCGAATTCGTCAGGTGGTGTTGTCAAGTCGTCCTGTGGCTATTGCAAATCGTATCGCTGCCCGGACTGCTGTCAGGTTTGGAGTCCAGCTCTTATCATCAGTCGGCGTCTTTCCACCTAGGTAGAAAGATATGTTGCTCCTGTGTGTTTCCGTACATTGGAGCATCTCCGTGCGGAATGCCGTCCACTTGGTACATCGGAAGAGGAAATGCTCGACGGTCTCCCTCGCTTGTCCGTATGCGCATAGATCTGTCGGAGCGGCGTTGATCCGGTGAAGATAGGTGTTCAGTCTGGCCATACCGGTCCTGAGTTGAGCGAGTATGTTCGCTTCTATCCACGGGAGTCCATCATATAACTGTCTCGTATGTTTGCCTGGTAATGCTGTGTCCACTCTCTTCGAATGTACTCCGACCTTCTCTGGCAGGCTTCTAGTGGGCCCTCATTTGGCCCGCGCAGCGTTGAGCAATGTAGATCTCATCCCGGGTCGTTGTGTTGGTGGTCGGGCCTTCGACCCAGTGGCCTTCTGCGCTGTCTCTTTGGCAATCTTCTTCCACTTGTTGTCGTCCTGTGCCGGGGTCCATATGACTGTCACTGTATTGCCCTCTCTCCGTAGACGTCTGACGGAATCGTAAATGCGACCGACGTGTTCTTGTCCCGACTGTTGGCGTGGTCGTCTTAGCGACAGCACCGCTGCCTTGTTACTGGTCAGTAATGCGATCCTCCGAAACCTGAGCTGACGCAATGAGCTCAGAGCTTGGGCCATCGCCGCGAGTTAGCCCGAGTATGGATTCTGTTGTGATCGTGTGCCGATCGTGGCAAGTATTGATTTGTATTCTCAAGCTAAGCTAGATAATACATTGTAGAGGTCGGCACGTGTCTACCTACATAGACCCTCTACCTTGCATCCCCTTGGATCCTTATCCGCTTTCTTCGCGGGGCACTGCCGGTTCACAAGTCAATACCTGGAGGGGGTTTTGTGAGGACAACTGCCTGACGGCCACCACGGCATGCGTATTCTGCAAATCGACCAGAAGCCGCCTTCATATACCTGGACCA